AGAGCCTCAAGAGGCCCCGCAGCCCCGTTCATGAGGCTCAAGAAGTTTGATTTAAAGGACTACGATTGGAGAATCCATCCGCAAACAGCACCTGCCTGCCTACTGAAGACCCCATGAGGTTTTGCGTCCAAGTTTGCCTGCCCACAGTGTCCATTTGTACCAAGTCTGTAACTTTTCAGGGCACCACCCTGCAGTCTTGCAGGAATGCACGCCGCAGCTGTGAGGACATGACAGAGGGCTGCAGTCTCTACGATCGCAACACCGGAGCTGATCTCTGCGCTGCAGGGGGTATCGCTCTGCCTGTCTAGTCTAGTTGCTGAAACTAGTTATGGGCATTACTATTATGAATGAATAAGGAATGTCCCTCCTTGGAGGGGCCGGTGTCAATGTCCGAAGTTACTCGCCATGCAATTTGTGATGAAGGAGTGTAGGAGAAATATTGTATCTTCCTCTGGATCGATAGGGAAGTAGAGCAGGTCCTTGAAGAAACCGATTCTTTGAGGTTGGGCTGGAAAAGTATCTTGGTCGCCAGCATCAACGTCAAATAGAGGCGCAAGAACGAGCAAATCTTTTGTGAATTTAGAAGTACAATGGGAACACAACATGAATCAGAATAAAGTAAGAAAGCAAGAAAGAAATTCTGGCTTAGATCACATTTTCTCCAATTATAATTTAACAAAGACTAAGCAAAGAGAAGGCTGTGCTATGTCTGACACTGGCTGTGGACAATACAAGGAGATTGAAGCGATTGGATTCTGAAATTGTCCCCCGTGTCGACGTTAAGTTAACAGTGGTCCTATGGAGGAGAAATGTTGAAGAGGTGTGGCGAGAAACCATGCGGACAGTAATATTCAAGAGTCTGCTTGCTGGATGATTTCGAAGTTGTATTCTTGTAGTAAAAGGAACCATCTTGATATTCGACCAGATAATCGGCTTGTTGATGGCTGGAGCTAGAATCCATTGTCCTTGAGCCAGGTGGTTATGCTGAGAAGCCTAGGAATATGGTGTATGACGTATCTGAGGCAGCGGGGTGGATGAGCTGGCATCTTTCTCTTCAGATCGAAGTGCTTGCCCCGTTAGGGTTCTTGAGACCCATAACTGTTGGTTGGCTGATTGTGTGGCGCTCGATTGCTGGTGACGAATGGTAGAGATTTGTTGACTGAATTGATCTGGTTTGACTTGGCTTGATTGAAGATCAATGGTGGATATTGCTGATGAAGTTAACTCAAGTTCAATTGTTGATATCTGCTGAGGTGGCGTTGATCCAACGGTACCTTGGAACTTATAGATTTTTTCTACTGTTTGTTGCTGAAGTTGGTGGGTGGATGAGTTCGTGTTGAGTTGAGTTGAGTTGTGTCTAACTGAGTTGAGTTAAAGTTTGTCTGCCGGTGATTGTCGATTGTTGGTTTCGGGGTGTTTGTCGGTTTTGGTCGGAAATTTGGTGAGGTGCTGATGCTGAACATGTTGACGTGATATGGTCGAAGCTTGTTGAGGTTGACGATCTCAGTGAAGTCTTCAGCGAGTGTGCTGGCTTTGATAGTGCCGTTGGGGTAGAGTGCAATGATTTTGAAAGGTCCTTTCCAGTTGGTGTGGAGTTTCCGGCCGAGTTTGCCAATGGGTCCCTGGTACCAGAGAACATGATTGTCGACGCTGTATTTCGGAATGTTGTGCTGGGATGCTTGTTGATTGTGCTGAGCTTTTCACTGTTTTTGGATGGTGTGAAGTGTCCAGAGGGCGTTGAGTTGAAGCTCGTCAAGACGTTCGAGTTGCTGAAGCCTTTCTCAAATTGCGTGTCAAGATTATACTTGATGGTGACTCACATGCTCGGGATAATGAATTCAATTGGCGTGATGGCTTCTGTTCCAAAGGTGAGTTTTAATGGCATCATGTCGATGGTGACTTTATACGCAGTTCGATAGGCCCAAAGTACGTCAAGAAGTTTTTCATCCCAGTCTTTGCCAGAATCATTGATGACTTTTTTGAGGATGGTCTTTAATGTTTTGTTTGTTGCTTCTACTTGACCATTTGTAGCACATGTGGTTTTTACCCTTTATCCTATGGTGCTTTACCATAGGATAACCACAGAAGCAGAATTTAAACCCTCTAAGCCCTCCATGTGCAACATATCATATGCCACGTGTCATATGCCATGTGTCTAAAGGATAGTGGTGTGGAACCCAAGTTTCAAGGCCTTGGGCTATTGAATGAAGGAATAGTGCCAAACTCCCAAACATGGAGCCAAGGAGCAATGGCACTGGAGTATAGAACGACTCTTGAGCATACAGCCCAAGGAGTGAAGGGGTAGGAGCACGGAATGACTTGGAATAGTCCTAGAGTATCCAACATCCCTATGCTAAGACTAGCACACAAAACAGAGCCAAATGAAGTCTAGCGCTATTTCAGCATACCGGTGGCATAATGCAAAGATATAGGTATTCCACCAACTAGCATGGAATGGAATTTGGGTTTAAACCCAAGTCGGATGCAAAACAAGGATAGGCACACAAGCAGGAGCTAAACTATAGCTCAGGTTAGTCAGCCATACCTGACCTACCTACTATCCCTACTATACATTTGGAACCCCTCGTATCCCCCCCCCCCCCTCTTTGAGGAACACACGTTTTGGGCTTTCACCCCAAGCCTCTCTTAGTGCCAAGAGTTACTCTTTGGGATAAGCTCAAAACTTATTAAATATGGAATGTCTTTAGATTGTGAATTTGGACATAGGATGAACACCATTATGCCAAATGAGCAAATCTAGACACTTTCCATAAATAGCATTTGGGACCAAAATGAGATTAACACAAAGGGCATGATAGTGAGGGTGTTTGGCAGACATAATAAGCTATCATCCAGTGATATTGAGGGACTAATCTCAATATGCGAGGGTTTTTATCAAGCCAGTGCAAGACAGAGCAAAAGAAAACTAAAAAGCCAGACCAAATATGCTTGGCTAAATAGATACTTAGGAATTCTGTTTTTATACTCATACAAATGCAAAGTTCAGTTTACTAACACTTGAACAAAAGGGATTGATAAAAGGTCCAACAATATTGATCTCCTACTGTCATGGTAGTAAGGAAAAAGTGTCTGTAAGGACTAGCCAACAAGAAACTTTTGATACCTGAAGTTATATTCGCGACACTCTCCCCCCCTTAGGGAAGATTGATGTCCTCGTTAATGCATACTCCAGTCTAAAATACCACCAAAGAAACAACTCTAGAAAAAATGTGATATGCCTTTGCCCGCAGGGACATAGAGAGAAAAGCTAGAGGCCCCAACCCTCTTGAGCAAAGAAACCAAACCCATCGGTAAGGTTTAGATAGACTACGGTAAACAGGCAGTTAGTGTAGCGCACGTGTTTTGACCCTTTATCCTATGTGATTTACCATA